TAACTTCTACGGTCCAGTGCTGCGTCTTGGCCACCTGCCAGTCTACCAGGGTTTAGGAAGCCAGAGCTGATGTTGTGAGCATGCTATATATGTATAAACATATATGTAATCATTTATATCAATTCATATAATAAGAATTATACAATATACACAAGTGGGATTTTTCCTGGAATGCAAGAATGCTTCATCATAGTAAAATGCATTGGTATCATGCACCACGTTGGAGAAGGAAATGGCAACCCACTCCAGAGTTCATGCCGAGAGAATCCTGTGGACAGAGGAGCCTGGCGGGATGCTGTTCATGGGGGTCTCACAGAGTTGGACACGACTGAAGTGACTTAGCAAGGAAGCAAGAAAGCAAGCAATGCACCACATTCACATAACGCATCGAAAAACCATGATCTCAATTAATGCAGAGAGAGCAATTTAAAAACTTCAAAACCGTTTCATGATTAAAAAAAAAAAAATGGACAAATAACACTTGAAGGAAACTACCACCATAAAGTCAAAGTCCCTGATGGCTCACCAGTAAAGAATCTGCCTGCAAAGCAGGAGGTGCAAGAGACAGAGGTCTGATCCCTGGATCAGGAAGATTCCCTAGAGGACAAAACATCAACCTACTCCACTATTCTTGATTAGAGTCCAATGGACAGAGGAGACCGGTGAGCTACAGTGCAAAAGGTCGTGAAGAGTTGGACACAACTGACTACACACAGACAACTGAAACTCACAGCGAACATCACAGCCAGTGATGAAGACTGAAAATTTTTCCGTTGAGATTAGGAAACCCATAAGAATCCTAGGTTTTGCACTTCTATGCAACACAGCACAGAGAGTCTTAGCCATAACAGTCAGGAAAGATAGACATACAGACAGACAGATACGTCAGTGACATTTCAATCTGAAAAGAGGTAGAATTATCTATGTCCACCCATGACATGGTTTCAAATGTAGAAATCCTAAGTATGCCACAAAAAATAATATATAAATAAAAATGTAATTCAGCAAAGTAACAAGGACATTCACCAAAGTCAATGCTGAAAATCAGTGGCATTTCTGTACACTAATGATCAAAGTGAAAAGGAAATTAAGAAAACAGTTTTGTTTACAATTGTTTCAGAAAGAATAAAGTATTTAGTGATTAACTTAACAAAAAAAGTGAAGACTTGCATAGTGAAATGTCAAACTTTGTGAAGACATTAAATGACACAAATCCTGTTTTCATACATTTTAAGACATATTGCTAAGATCTCAATACTAACCATTGCAATTTACAATTCCAATGCAATCCTGATCAAAATTCCACCCTAAACCAAAATGCCTATCCTAAAACACTTTACAACTAATAGACCCCAAACTAACCAAACAATCACAGGAAGAAAACGTAATATGGGAGAATACCGTTACTGATTTCAAAACTTACTGCAAAGCTATAGTAATCAAAACAGTTTGGTACTGGCATGGATCAAAGCCTTGTAATGATGAAGGGGTTTTCACAACTCAGTGAAGCCATCAGCCATGGTATACAGAGTCACCCAAGATGGATGGGTCATAATGAAGAGTGTTGACAAAAAATGGTCCATTAAGGGATGAAATGGCAACAAACTTCAGTATTCTTGTCTGGACATCACCATAAACGGTAAGAAAAGGCAAAAAGATATGACACTGCAAGATGAGTCCCCCAGGTCAGAAGGCATTCAGTATGCTAAATTGGGGAAGAGTGGAGGGCAAATACTAACAGCTCCAGAGAGAAAGAAGTGGCTGGGAAAAAGCAGAAATGATGCTCAGATGTGAATGTGTCTGGTGGTGAAAGCAAAGCCTCATGCAGTAAAGAACAGTATTGCATAGGAACGTGAAATGTTAGGATCATGAATCAAGGTAAAATGGATGTGGTCAAGCAGAAGATGGCAAGAGTGAACATCGACATCTTAGGAATCAGTGAACTAAAATGGACTGGAATGGGGGAATTTAATTCAGATGACCATTTTATCTACTACTGTGGGCAAGAATCCCTTAGAAGAAATGGAGTAGGCCTTGTAGTCAACAAGAGAGTCCAAAATGCAGCACTTGGGTGCAGTCTCATAAACGGCAGAGTGATGTCTGTTCATTTCCAAAGCAAAGCATTCAATATCACAGGAATCCTAGTCTATGCCCCAAACACTACTGCCAAACATGCTGAAGTTGACCGGTTCTGCGAAGACCTACAAGACCTCCTAGAACTAACACCAAAAAAAAAAAAAAAAAAAGGAAAAGAAAAGATGTCCTTTTCATCATAAAGGATTGGAATACAAATGGAGGAAGTCAAGAGATTCCCAGAGTAATAGGCAAGTTTGGCCTTGTAGTGCAACATGAAGCAGGGCCAAGACTAACAGAGTTTTGACAAGAGAACATGCTTGTCATAGAAAACACCCTTTAACAACAACACAAGAGATAACTCTATCCATATACATCACCAGGTGGTCAATACGAAAATCAGATTGATTATATTCTTAACAGCCGAAGACGGAGAATTTCTACATAGTCAGCAAAACAAGACTGGGAGCTGACTGTGGCTCAGATCATGAGCTCCTATTGCAAAATTCAGGCTTAAATTGAAGAAAGTAGAGAAAACCACTAGACCATTCAAATATGACCTACAATCTAATCCCTTACAATTATACAGTGGGAGTGACAAACAGACTTAAGGGATTAGATCTCATAAACAGAGTGCCACCCAAAGATTCACATCAGAAAGAAGGGGCAACGTGATTGAAAAATATCTCTAACACATTACATAAAATGTCAAAAGATATTTTTCATAGACAGCTGTTTATAGATGAATGAAGAAACGAGGGGACAGAGGTGGACAGAGATAGGGGGTTTAGACATGGACTTTTAATCTTTGTAATGTGTCACAAGGAAAAACTTCCAGTCACTGGCTCACCTTGCATTTTTACTTGTCCTGGATTTTGACATTTTCCAAAACATGTTCTCTGTGTGTGTGTGTGTGTTGCTCAGTCATGTCCGACTCTTTATGACCCCATGGGCTCTACCCCACCAAGCTCCCCTGTCCACGGAATTCTCCAGGCAGGAATACTGGAGTCCGTTGCCATTTCCTGATGAAGACTATCTAGGAAAGGGCCCCTTTTAAACGGGGCAGTGTGTTTGTCATTAGCAGAAAAACACAGAGGCAGAAGATGGGTGGATACAGGTCTAAGTCAGGCAGTGCCCTCTGGTGGCCCTATGGGGCTCTGTGATTCCTTGTGCAGAAACAGTCTGAATGTTTCATTCTAAACTACCTGCCTGCAATGCAGGTGACCCAGCTTTATTACCAGGGTTGGGAGATGAAAAGCATGTCAATATATTTTAAAGAAATTCTCTCAAGTTTACAAAACATGTTCTGAGGAAGTTTAACTTGAAAAGGACTCTTTTGAATGGGGTAGTCAGTCTATTATGTGGCTCAGTCAGGTCTGACTCTTTGCAATCCCATGGACTGCAGCACACCAGGCTTCCCTGCCCTTCACCAACTCCCGGATGGTACGCAAACTCATGTCCATTGAGTCGGGAATGCCATCCAGCCATTTTGTCCTCTGTCGTCCCCTTCTCCTACCGCCTTCAATCTTCCCTAGCATCAGGGTCTTTTCCAATAAGTTGGTTCTTCGTATCAGGTGGCCAACTTATTGGAGTTTCCGCTTCAGCATCAGTCCTTCCAATGAATATTCAGGATTGATTTCCTTTAGGATTGACTAGTTGGATCTCCTTGCAGTGTTTGCCCTAAGCAGCTACACACTGCCCTCTGGTGGCCCTGTGAGAAAGAGCAGGAGCACTGCAGGGCTCCATGGGTCTGTCTGCCAAACAGGCCAAGAATCAGTTGCCACCTTCACAGTCTTGCTGTGAGAGTAAACCAAATTCTGCAAGTCTCAATGTTTGGGGGCTGCCGTCTAGTTGAAATCATTGTCTTGACTATGACACAATACATCACTTTAAAAGTGCAGAATTTCAGAGAATGATGGTTGAGCCCCTGAGTTAGGCCCTGGGACCACAACAGAGAATAGAGACGATGTAGGAACCTCTTGGGACCTGCAGGGAAAGGGTGGGAACCTCCTGGGTGGGATCACTTGCCTATACCCCAGCTCTGTGTGTCTAGTGTAGAGATTAGTCTTTCTAACCAAAGAACTTTTATAGCTTTCTTCTGATTATATTAACAAAATGTTTTAGAAAGTTGGGAAACTATCATTCAAAATAGTCTGCCTAATTTCACCTACAATTTCATAGCATTTAAAAAAATGGGATTACCTGATATTACCCATGACCTTTTCACTGCATATGAGCAATTATTGTATCCATTTATAAAGTTAAAAGATGTGAATTGAATAGCTGAAAATATTCCTTATGATACCTTGTATCACAGGACCCGTTTCTACAGCACCTGATGACAGCTTCCTCTGAATATATCTTGTTCATCTCTGAAAGTGGAGTCCAGAACCTATCAGCTCCAGGCATCGTCCAAATCTAGTATCATTCCTTGAATTTTCAAAGCAGGTTCTCTTATATCATTTCTGCTAGGACAGCAGGCCCTTCATACCATGTCTCCTCTCCTTTAAGAGCTCCTGCCAGACCAAGACACTGCTCAATCAATTCTCTGTCTGCTCTGTGCACAGTACAGATTGTATGGTAAATATTCAGTAGAGATTTGAAACTCAATAGATCTAAATGAGTTACTTATTATTGCTGATATCATCCTAAAATTATGAATAAATTCCAGAAAACAATCAGTGTTACCTGAAGCAAAAGGACAGGGTACTGTCCGCAAGGTTTGCAAGCTGGGGACACAAAAAATTCTTGCCTGTAACTGAAAGCACATTCCCGGGGCTGAAGGAAGGGAAGAACTTTTAAAAAGCAAAAGCCCCAGAATGCTCAGCTGGGAGACTTGTAAGGGGGTTAAATGGCCCTGTGCAGCCTAAGCACAAATCCGTGCGTGCATCCCAGGAGCAGAGACCTCTTTACACCTGCCGACCCACCGCGCCCGACGCGCACACCGCGGCCCCAACGTCGGGCTCCTCGGCTGCACCTCCCCGTTCTGAACTCGCGAGCCCATGGCGACCGGGTCCAGGCCGCGCCCACAGACCCAGAGGCCGCCCCCCGTGGTCGAGGGGCGCCAAGCAGGGAGGGCTGCGAGTGCGCGGGGCGCCCACTGCTCCACGACCACCTTGGGGCCCCGGCCCGGCGTCCTCACCCTGTGGCCAGTGGCGGCGACCCCGGAGCCAAAGACCGAGTGAGGCTCGCGCTCCTCGAGGCTGGAGGAGTCGGGGGCCGATGGCCGTTGGGCAGGCGGGGGCGCGCGGTGAGGGGCTGCGGACAGAGCTGCACTTACTCATGTCTGCTCTGCTTCCCGGTCCGGGGCGTTTCACAGTGGGGACCGACCCAGTCTCCAACTTCCCTTCCCTCAGGACCGGCCCTGGGAGCTCTGGCGTCCCTGTGCCTCCGCCCTCTCACCTATTGCCTCTGACGCCTGCGCACTGGCACCTGCATCCGCTCACGCCTGCGCCCTCGCTCCAGGGCCAGTGGGGGTGGGGAGGGGCTTTTGTCAGCCTCAGGATTTCTAGCTGGAATATCCTTATTTTACATTTCCTTAAAGTGTTTGACTTGATATCAGTTTTTAAAAAAAATTAATGTCAAGTTTTCTTATCCTAATCATAATTTCATGACTATAGATTGTCTTTGTAAGATTTCTTTAAGAATAATAATTTCTACTTGGTCAACTGAGTCAGATAATAGGTACCAAAATAATATATTGCTTCTATAAATTTTCAGTCAATACGTTTTAGCCTGTGAAGTCTTATTCAGTGTGTGTGTGTGTGTGTGTGTGTGTGTGTGTGTGTGTTACTACTAATCAGCCTTGGCAGGGGCAGTCTTGAGATGAAGGGAGATTTAGGATCTCCTAGGCTAGGGCTGTCTCCCTGCCACATAGTTTGCCGTGGCAATCACAGGTCCTAAGCCCGCAGGATGTTTTGGACTGTGGAGGAGATTCTCTGGCTGTGCACACAAGCATGCACTGACACGCATCAGAGGAAGGGGCCGCAGGGAGTGGGCTCAGGCGAGGGGTGGACCGTGGGGCGGCAACAGTGACAGAAACATGCATAATTTTCCTTGGACTAAGGTAAAGACCACCTTGTTGGACCTCATATGGAATCAAGGTCAGAACACCTGCACTGGCTGTGGTGAGGAGTCCTCAGAGGGAATTAGACACCCCATGGTTGAAGTGGACAAGAGGAGGTGGAGGGCCTCTTCAAGGTCCCTCTCAAAGCCCCCGGTTCCTGTGGATCCTGTCACATCCCCTCCTGGGGCCCAAGGAGTGTTGGTGTCCTCAAGTCTCTCAGAGGTGTGGTTTGTGCTGTGGTTTCACTGCTTGGTGTGCAGTATGAGTGGTTCCAATCAAAGGGGTGAAGTGTCCAGTACTGGGGCGAGGAGAGTGTCCCTTGCACTCCTACACATTCCCCTGCCCCTGACCTGGCCTATACCTCCTCCTCTTAGCATCCGAGCTTCTCAGTGGAGGAATGGAGCCTCTTATCTATTCAATTACCAGCTGTGCGCTGAGCATTCAGTGGGGGCTGTGATGAAAAGAAGCACCAGGGTCACAGTCTGGAGGGGGAAGTGGAGAAACACAGAAGGAAGCAAGTTCTATGTTGAAAAACAGTAGGTGCCACAATGTGGTCATGAGGGGCTGCACTGAGGGGACATGTCTGTCCCCAGCAGGGTAATGAGAGGATGCCAGCCATTCACACATCTGGGGATAATTATCCTAGCAGAAGGCACAAGTGTATGGACACACAGAATGTGTTTGTCCAGAGATGAAGCCAGAGGAAGCTAGTGTGGCTGGTGGGAGGTTGGGAGGACATTAGGGGACAGTGGGGAGGGAGGGGCCAGGGCCTGAATGCTTGATGGCTGTGTGAGTGGACCATTCTGTGTGACAACATTAGCCAATCTTGAGTGACTTAAGCAACAAACATTTATTATCTCACACTACCTGTGGACCAGGAATTGACCATGATTCACCTGGAGGCCTCTGCCAGTGTCTCCCTGGGGTCTAGGACTGTGAACTCATTGAGTCAGGACCCAAGAGCTCCTCTGTCATGGTCTCAATGCTAAACCACAGATGCCTCTTCGTATGGCAACAAGTAATATACAGGCTTGTTCCTTAGAGTGAGGGACCAAAAGGAGAAAATGATGGAGAGAGAGGAAACTGCAATAAATGAAGAAGTGTAAATTATACACCTGATCTTTGGGGATTGCCAAATGGTACTGCTGCTGCTGCTGCTAAGTCGCATCAGTCGTGTCTGACTCTGTGTGACCCCATAGATGGGAGCCCGCCAGGCTCCCCTGACCCTGGGATTCTCCAGGCAAGAACACTAGGGTGGGTTGCCATTTCCTTCTCCAATGCATGAAAGTGAAAAGTGAAAGTGAAGTTGCTCAGTCGTGTCTGACTCTGAGCGAGCCCATGGACTGCAGCCTACCAGGCTCCTCCGTCCATGGAATTTTCCAGGCGAGAGTGCTGGAGTGGGTCACCAGTGCCTTCTCTGTCAAATGGTTACAAGCACTGTATATAACACTTCAGCAGTTTCTCAAAAGGACAATCCTACAGTTTTCAGTCAATCCCCAAATCCCCCTCCTACATCAATACCCAAAAGCATGTGAATACACATATTCACATGCCTGTACACAAGTATTCAGAGCACCACTGTTCAGAAGAGCCCAAAGGTGAAAGCTCTAATGTCCATCAACAGATGAAAGCCAAATGTGCTGGTTCCTGAAAGGAATATTATTTAGCAATGAAAAGAATGAAAATGTTCCCAAATTGATGTTTAATAGGGTTATGTAACATTGTGAATGAACTTATTGTAATTTACACGAACAATCGAGGATAATCAAACTATTAAATTTTAAGTGAAATTTATATCATAAACAATTGGGAAGACCCAGAGGGATGGGGTGGAGAGGGAGGTGGGAGGGGGGCCGGGATGGGGAATACATGTAAATCCATGGCTAACTCATTTCAATGTATGACAAAAACCACTGCAATGATGTAAACTAATTAGCCTCCAACTAATAAAAATAAATGAAAAAAAAATTTTTTTAAATACCAAAAATGGACTTACTCTAACTCTGGAGCTCTGGTGGGCAGTAGAGGTGTAGTTGGCTCCAGGTCTGGAGATGTTTGCAGAGCTTGATCTGGAGCTGGTGCTGTAGTTCCAAGGAGAGAAAACATCAATAGCACTGCTTTTCCAAGTGTCTCCCCAAAACAGAAAAGAAAGCTTTTCACTGCCACTCAATGATCTCTCAAAGATGTCAGCCCCAGAAAGTATTCCCAGACTGCAGTTCAGGGCATTAGTGATCTGAGCTTCCTCATTGATCCTGGCCCAGATCCAGCCTCAGAAGTTTGCGCTCTGTGTGGTTCAGCTCCCTTCCATTCTCATTTGCTCCCACCACATCCCCCTCTGCCTCAGTGGGCTCCAGGGTCTCCAGCTATGCCAGGAGATGTAGGGTTTGGTGCTCCAGGTCTGAGTCAGGCATGCTGAGCTCTATTTAAGCCAGTAGCATCCTCAGCAAGGGAGACTCTGGGGGCTGGTAGAAACCCTCAGGTTAATGGTACAGCTAGGTGCCCAGGATAGTGGACATGGCCCTGGGGGGAGTCAGGTGGGCAGAAGAGTCAGAGACCTGGCCTTCCTTCCACACTGAGCTCCCGGGCAGCCCTGTGGGGTCTGGAACTTTTTGCCTTCTGCTCCTGCCCATTCAGAGGCCAGTTCTACTCCATGTCACATCTGACTTGGTGGTTCTTTGGAAAACTGAGTCCCCGCCTCTTGAATCAGAGACCCACTCACATATTCAGCTGGTGTATGTGTCCGCTGTCCTCATCAGAGTAAGGGAGGATGCATCCATACCTAGAGGAGGCCAGGAAGGCATCACATGGACAGTACTGGAGACACGCCCAGATGTGATGGCCAGTGTGACAGTGTGACCCCCGGGAGAACTGAAGCCCTGGAGGGCAGGACTGCTGTCTGCTCAATGAATTACAGGATGGTTGTTCCTAGAAAAGTGCCTGCAACTTGTGGGCCTTCCTGTATATTTCAAGATTGAATGAGCCCAACCAGCCCCATCTGAGTACCTGGGGCACTACTGATCACTCCCAGGGAGCCCTGCTCTCACTCACCCAGGACAGGGCAACTCTCACAACTCACCTTGCAAATGGGAATCCGTTTGGCCCAAGGTAAAAGGTCAGAGAAAACTGAGACAGAGACTTCCTTGAGGGGAGGAGGAACATGATGACTAAGTAAAATCACAGTCCCTCCAGCAGACTTTTCCATGGGGCCAGGTCCCCAGAAAGCACTTTCCAGCTTTCCAGGAAGGACTCACTTAGTCCCCACATTCACCCTGAGGGTTCGTTCTCCCTTTGCCCTTGTTTGCATAGGGACCAACTGGGGCTTAGAGAGGTGGAGAGATATTCCTGTGACTCCAGCTGGACTGGGACCAACTCCCCAGTGTGCCATAGGTGGAGGGAAGTGCTCACCTTGTGAAGAAGGTCCAGCACCTGCTTTGTTCTTGTTGTTCAGTCACTTAGTCTGACATTTTGCAACCCTGTGGGTGGCAGTACACTGGCTCCGCTGTGCTTCACCATCTCCTGGAGTTTGCTCAAACTCATGTTCATGGAGTCAGTGAAGCCATCCAACCATCTCGTCCTGTTTTTCCCTTCTCCTCTTGCCTTCAATCTTTGCAGCATCAGAGTCTTTCCCAAAGAGTTGGTTCTTTGCTTCTATCAGAATATTTTCCAATGAGTCAGCTCTTCCCAACAGGAGGCCAAAGTATTGGAGATTCAGCTTCAGCATCAGTCGTTCCAATGAATATTCAGGACTGATTTCCTTTAGGATTGACTGGTTTGATCTCCTTGCAGTCCAAGGGACTCTTAAGAGTCTTCTCCAACACCACAGCTCAAAAGCATAAATTCTTCATCACTCAGCCTTCTTTATGATCCAACTTTCACATCCATCCATAACTACTGGAAAAACCATAGCTTTGACTATATGGAACTTTGTTGGGAAAGTAACGTCTCAGCTTTTTATATGCTGTATAGGTTTGTCATAGCTTTTTTGCTTTTTATATGCTGTGTAGGTTTGTTATAGCTTTTTTCCCAAGGAGCAAGTGTCTTTAAACTTCATGGCTGCAGTCACCATCTGCAGTGGTTTTGGATGCCAAGAAAATAAAGCCTGTCACTGTTTCCATTGTTCCTCATTTATTTGCCATGAAGTGATGGGACCAGATGCCAGAATCTTACTTTATGAATGTTGAGTTTTAAGCCAGCTTTTTCACTCTCCTCTTTCCCCTTCATCAAGAGGTTCTCTAGTTCCTCTTGGCTTTCTGCCATGAGGGTGGTGTCATCTGCATATCTGAGGTTATTGATATTTCTCCCAGCAATCTAGATTCCAGCTTGTGCTTCATCCAGCCCCACATTTTGCATGATGTATTTGCATATAAGTTAAATAAGCAGGGTGACAATACACAGTCTTGATGTACTCCTTTCCTAATTTGGAACCAGTCCATTGTTCCATGTCCAGTTCTAACTGTTGCTTCCTGACCTGCATACAGGGATCTCAGGAGGCAGGTAAGGTTGTCCCATATTCCCATCTCTTTAAGAATTTCACACAGTTTGTTATGATCCACACAAAGACTTTAGTGTACTCAATGAAGTAGATGGTTTTTCTGGAATTATCTTGCTTTTTCTATGATCTCCAATGAATACTGGCAATTTGATCTCTGGATCCTCTGCCTTTTCTGAATCCAGCTTGAACATCTGGAAGGTCTCAGTTCATCTACTGTTGAAGCCTAGTTTGGCAAATTTTGAGCATTACTTTGCTAACATGTGAAATGAGTGTAGTTGTGTGGTAGTGAGAGAGTAACAGGCAGGAAGGCCAGGGGCCTCCAAATGGAGGAAAGAGGCTGCAAGTGCCAGACATTTTTATCTCTCTTAAGCTGAAGGAAGAAACAAACCAGCGATATGTTTTTTCTTCTCTATACAAATTTAAAAGGAGGTTTCTCTTAAAATGCTGTGTTGCCATGACACCTGGTCTCACCTAAAGCTAACTGCTCTCAAACCTTGAGTTAACCAATACATTTCTTTTTCTTATGAAAATGTTGCCTTAAGCTATGTTAATGTAACCCAGACTCTATCTTCAAGTTGGTTCCTCCAAATGGCCTAACTTACTTACTCAGGTATTGTTCCCCTAGTCTATGTAAATGAAACTATTTATTGGTATTCTGCCCTTCTACAAGACTCAAGTCAATCGTTTTATGACCAGGGATGACTTATCTGGTGCCATTCTAAATTTTATGACATTCCTTTCTTTTCATTAACAGACTGTGAGTGACTATATAACATACAGCTAAAGACTAGGAGGGAAGTACTCTTTTGCCCCCTTCTAATGCCTATGTCAGAAGCTTTCTCTATCTCCTTTATACTTTAATAAAACTTGATTACACAAAAGCTCTGAGCGATCCAGCCTCCTCTCTGGCCCCAGATTGAATTCATCTCCTCCGGAGACCATGAATCCTGGCGTCTTATCATTGAGAAACAACCTTTCAGTAGTTTGAACATTCTTTGGCATTGTTGTTCTTTGGGATAGGAATGAAAAAAGACCTTTATGAACACTGCTGAGTTTTCCCTCTTTGCTGGTATATTGAGTGCAACACTTTAACAGCATTCATCTTTTAGTATATGACATTGCTCAGCTAGAATTCCATTTTATCCACTAGCTTTGTTCATAGTAATGCTTCCGAAGACCCACTTGACTTTGCACTCTAAGATATCTGGGTGGAGGTGTGTGATCACACCATCGTGGTTATCTGGGTCACTAAGATCTTTTTTGTGTATTTCTTCTGTGTATTCTTGCCACTTCTTCTTAATATCTTCTGCTTCTGTTAGATCCACACAGCTTCTGTCATTTATTGTGCACAAGTTTATTGTTCCCTTGGTATCTCTAATTTTCTTGAAGAGATCTCTAGCCTTTCCTATTCTATTGTTTTCCTCTATTTCTTTGCATTGATCACTGAGGAAGGCTTTCTTATCTCTCCTTGCAATTCTTTGGAACTCTGCATTCAGATGATTTTATCTTTCCTTTTCTCCTTTGACTTCACCTTCTCTTCTTTTCTCAGCTATTTTGTAAGGCCTTTTCAGACAACCATTTTGCCTTTTTGCATTTCTTTTTCTTGGGGATTGTTTGAGAATGGCCTCCTGTACAATTTTTACGAACCACTGTTCATAGTTGTCCAGGCACTCTGTCTATCAGATCCAATCTCTTGAATATGTCACCTGCACTCTATAATCCTAAGGGATTTGATTAGGTTTTACCTGTATTGCATAATGGTTTTGCCTACTTTCTTCAATTTAAGTCTGAATTTTACAATAAACAGTTCATGATCTGAGGCACAGTCAGCTCCCAGTCTTGTTTTTGCTTACAGTACAGAGCTTCTGCATCTCTGGCTGCAAAGAATATATCAATCTGATTTTGGTATTGACCATCTGGTGATATCCATATGTAGAGACATCTCTTGTGTTGTTGGAAATGGGTGTTTGCTATGACCACTGTGTTCTCTGGCAAAACTCTTGTTAGCCTTTGCCCAGCTTCATTATGTATTCCAAGGCCAAACTTTCCTGTTACTCCAGGTGTCTCCTGACTTCCAACTTTTGCATTCCAGTCCCCTATGATAAAAAGGATATCATTTTCTTGGTATTACCTCTAGAAGGTCTTGTATCTCTTCACAGAACCATTCAACTTGAGCTTCTCCACCATTAGTGGTTGGAGCATAGACTTGCATTACTGTGATATTGAATGGTTTGCCTTGGAAAGGAACAGAGATCATTCTGCCATTTTGGAGACTGCATCCAAGTACTGCATTTTGGACTCTTCTGTTGACTATGAGAGATACTCCATTTCTTCTAAGGAATTTTTACTCAAAGTGGATGGCAAAATCCCTGTAGGTACCCAGGAATGTGGGGAGGTTGGAGGGGTCAGGGCCCAGGAAGCCAGGCATCAGGTTGCCACCAACGTCTCCAGTTTGCATATCTGGACGCTCCAGATATGCAGGTCTCATTCCTGTCCCCTGTGGACACACTTTCCCCCTGCGGTGGAACACAGCAGAGACACGAGTTAGAGGCAGTACCAAAGACTCCAGGAAGGCAGGGGCTGGAGCCCAGGCTGAGTCACCAAGCATCCAGGACTCAGGGCAGGAGGAGGGGCAGGAGCGCCCTTCACAGGATAAACATCCTGGCATCTCGTGTTAACTGGCGCTGGGCCATGGTTACGTGTGTTAGCGTCTTGGGGCAGTTTGTATTGGGCAGCTCCCCATGTGTTAACTGCATCATCCCTGTGGTGGTGTCGAAAACTTCTCATTCTGTGGATGAGAACTGGGGTGAGAGGGACTGATCCTGGGGTGAGAGACATCAGGATTTTCAGGCCCACATGGATACCTGGGGATGGAGTTACTACAGGATAAACTGTAGAAAAATGCAGACAGGCTCCTTGGGGACATTAAGTGAAATCCAATCACAATCTCCTTCTGAGATTCCCACACGTAAGTGAACAGTGATTTTGCCTCTGGACAAGTCAGGGCCTGGCCCGCAAGGGTGCTTCACAGAGCTGATGGTGTCAGGTTCCTCTGGGAGCAGGACTCCAGGAGGGACCCGGGGGGGGCAGGGTGGCTCTGGCATCCAGAATGTCCTGGGAGTCAGGGCTCCTCCCACCTGGCACTCACCCTGTGCCCTCCCTGTGCTCTGTTGCTGGTGTGGGGCTCCTGGCCCTCATGCAGGGATGGGGAAGAGGGGGCTCTGAGGACGGGCTCCTGTCTGCAGTCCTGTGAGGAGCCCAGTGAACAAGTGCCCGGCACCCGGGCAGAAAGTCTCAGGGCACCAGTCAGCTGCCTGTGGTGCTTCTCGGGCACAAGACAGCTCCCCTCCAGACACACGCCCACCACTCTCTGCACAGACCTCCACCAAGGACGCAGACACCCGACCACCTGTCAGCCATCGGTCCACAATGGCACAGACCAGAGCACCTCAGGGATCCTGCTTCCCCACTGCCAACCTGTCCTCAGGTGTGACTGTGACAGGACCACCAGGTCACCATGTTCCCACCAACCCGCTCCTGCCCAGAGGGAGAACCCCCCCTCAAGTCCCCGTTCCCCACACATGGAGATGAGGGCAGCTGGCGCTGCCCAGGGAGGGCTCCCAGTGGTGGCTAGGCCTGGTGTGGCCAGCTCTAGGTTGACTGGGATTACCTTAGGTGCCCTCCTGGTAAAGGACCAGAGGCATTCAGGTTGAGCGCTGAACCACCTGAAACATCTGAAAAACCTCTCCCTCCAGGGTTTCCTGAAGCAGAAACCCTGGCCAGTTGAGACACAGCTGAATTACATCCTTCTGGATGAAAACTCTCCAGCCAAGTGAGCCCCAACTGGCTGTGGCACTGTTGCTAGAAGGTGTGTACCTGGTTACAGGGTTCCGAGGTCTGTTAGGGTCTGCCACCGAGGCAGTGACTTCACCACCCAGGGGCCCCTTCCTTGGATTGACAGTTGACACTCCTGCACCCCTCAGGATCCTGACCACTCATCCCTTATCCATGCAGACCCGGGCCTCACACAGTTGCACCACACAGCCCTCCACACAGCTCCCGGGCAGGCTGTGTTTGCAGCTTTGAGTTCACAGACCTGGGCCCAGACTCACTTCCCGTTTCCCACCTGTTCTCCATCCTGGATGAGTCCCTGTCTCTCAAAGCCTGTTGGTGTCCCCACCTGCACACGAGGGATGATGCCCACATGGACTTCTAGGGATGTCCTCAGACATAGATGGGACAAGACCTGGAAAATATGGGAGTCTGGGTCTCAGGCAGGCAGTGCCTCCAGCCCCTGTAGGTTCATCTTATTACCATCCTCCTATCTGTCCCTCTCCTGATGCCAACCCACAGTCTTTTCCGTATTCACTGCACTTGGGTGTGTGTGTGTGTGTGTGTGTGTGTGTTGGTGTCTGTGCTGACTCTCTAGAGGCCAGAGGAACACTGCCCCCAAATAGGGAGGGATCGTAAGAGAATTCTGGAATCTCAGGCTATATGATTTCTAATGGATTAAAAGCTTGAACAGAACTACTGAAACCATTTAGCTCCTAGAAAGAAAGGGGTATTGTGTTCCTCCTGTATATCAGTCTTGGCAATGAAATTTGGGTGTTATTCCAGAAGCAAAGGAAGCAGAAGGAAAAGTGAACAAGTGAGCGTACATCAAACTGGAAAGCCTCGCCATGGGGAACCATCAATAAAATGAGAAATGAAGTATGAAATGGAGAACATACTGGCAATTGTCATGTCCAATAAGGGTTCGTATCCAAAATATATAAAAAGGCACACAATTCAAAAGCAAAGAAGCATGCAAGGAATCTCATTGAGAAATGGGTTTAAGTTCTGATTGGTCTGAGAAGGCCTTACAAATACCTCAGAAATGAAGAGAAACAAAACACCTTTGAGACAAGGAAAGATATACCCATCTTAAATCAGAGTTCCAAAAAATATGAAAGACAGATAAGAATCCTTAAGCGAAAAATGCAAAGAAATAGAGGAAAGCAATAGAATGGGAAAGGTCTGAGATGTCTTCATCACAGTTAGAGATACTAAGGGAATATTTCATGGAAAGATAGGCACAATAAAGGACAGATACAGTATGGAGCTAACAGAAGCAGAAGATATAAAGAAGAACACACAAAAGCATTACACAATAAAGGTATTAATGACCTGGACAACTACGATGGGGGTGGTCACTCACCTAGAGCCAGACATCCTTGAATATGAAGTCAAGTGGGTCTAAGGAAGCATTACTGCAAATAAAGCGTGTAGAGGGGATAGTCCCTCCACTGAATTCTTTAAGATGTTGCTGTGAAAGTGCTGCACTCAAAATGCCAGCAAATTTGGAAAACTCAGCAGTAGCCACAGGGCTGGATAAGTTCAGTTTTCATTCCAATCCTGCAAAAGAATCTTCCAACTACTGCATAACTGTGCTCATTTCACAGGCTAGCAAATTAATGCTCAAAATTCTTCGAGCTATGTCAACAATAAATGAACCAAGAGATTCCAGATGACGAATTGGATTTCCAAAAGGCAGAGAAACAAGAGATCAAATTGCCAACATCCACTGGATCATAGAAAAGTAGGTAATTCCAGAGAACCATCTACTTCTGCTTCATTGACTACACAGAACAAAGCCTTTGACTCTGTGGATCATAACAAACTGTGGAAAATTCTTCAAGAGTGGGGAGTAGCAGAAAAAACATACCTGCCTCCTGCAAGAACTGTATACGGGTCAAGAGGCAACAGTTAGAATCGGGCATGGAACGACAAACTGGGTCAAATATGGGAACAGAGAACATCAAGGCTGTATATTGTCACCCTGCTTATTTAACTCCGAGGCACAGTACATCATGCTAAATGCTGGGCTGGATGAAGCACAAGCTGGAATCAAGACTGCCTGGAGAAATATCGGTAATCTCAGATATGCAGATAACACCGCCCTAATCACAGATGGTGTGATCACTTACCTAGAGCACATGGTATGATCACTCAGCTAGAGCCAGACATCTTGGGATGCAGAGTCAAGAGGGCCTTAGGAAACATCACTACAAACAAAGCTAGCAAAGGTGATGGATTCCATTGGAATGATCACAAGTCCTAAAAGATGAGGCTGTGAAAGTGCTGGACTCAATATGCCTGCAAATTTGGAAAACTCAGCAGTGGCCACAGGACAGGAAAAGGTCCGTTTTGATTCCGGTCCCAAAGAAAGGCAATGGCAAGGAATGCTAAAACTACTACACAATTGCACTCATCTCACACGCTAGCAAAGTAATGCTCCAAATTCTCCAAGCCAGGCTTCAACCAGATCAGATTGCCAACATCCATTGGATCATGGAAAAAGCAAGAGAATGCCAGAAAAACATATTCTTCTGCTTTATGGCTACGCGAAAGGCTTTCACTGTGTGGGATCACAACAAACTGTGGAAAATTCTTCAAGAGATGGGGATACCATCCCACATGACCTGCCTAGAGAACTCTGTATGCAGGTCGAGAGACAACAGTTAGAACTTGACATGGGCCAACAGACTCATTCCAGATCTGGAAAGGAGTACGTCAAGGCTGTATATTGTCACCCTGCTTCTTTAACTGATATGCAGAGGACATCATGAGAAACGCTGGACTTGCTGAAGCACAAGATGGAATCAAGATTGTGGAGAGAAATATCAATCACCTCAGATATACAGAAGACACCACCCTCATGGCAGAAATCAAAGAGGAACTAAAGAGCCTCTTGATGAAAGTGAAAGAGCAGAGTGAAAATGTTGGCTTAAAACTCAACATTCAAAAAAGTCAGATCATGGCATCTGGTCCCATCACTTGGTGGCAAATAAATGGGGAAACAGTGGAAAGAGTGACAGTCTCTATCCTTTGGAGCTCCAAAATCTCTGCAGGTGGTGACTGCAGCTATGAAATTAGAAGACGCTTGCTCCTTGGAAGAAAACTTATGCCCTAACCAAGACAGCATGTTAAAAAGCAGAGACATACTTTGCCAATGAATATCAGTCTACACAAAGCTATGGTTTCTCCAGTAGTTACATGTGGATGTGACAGCTGGACTGTAAAGACAGCTGAGCACCAAGGAATTGATACGTTTGAACTGTGGGGCTGGAGAAGTCTCTTGACTGTCCCTTGGACTGCAAGGAGAGGGGCCACCAATGAGCCTGCTCAAGTGACAGCCCTTGATCCAAGGCGTGACCATCTGTCCACTTCCTGAGGGCAGCCTGACATAGTGCACTGACCCTCCCCCTGCCCCGCCCCCTGGTGTCACCACTGTGAGGGCAGGCTGGGAGTCTACTCTGGTCACTGCATCTCTGGAAACGAAGTGGTCCCAGGAGTATCTGGTCCAGGAGGGCACACACAGACTCTGCCATCTGCCCAGGCTTCCTGCGGGCCTCCTAACACCTCAGGTTGACCTCCTACATCTAAAGGCTGCCTCACCCACTAGGGACGCACCTTCATCTCCTACTGCCACTAATACTCATCCTTTACCAGTGAGGTCTCAGCTGTCCCCTGAGTGTCAATAGGTCCCCTGAACACCAGCTGAGCAACCCCAGCTGAGGTTCCACCAGACAGTGAGCAGGATGCTCTCCACGCTTTGTGTTCTGCATCCCAGGATCGGGGTAGAGGCAGGACTGGGATGGACAGGGGACGGGTGTGGACTTTCATGTG